TAAAGGGTACACTTCGGCTTCGTAAGTTTTTTCTTATTGTGCCAGTCTTTTTTTCTGCTTCCCTTCGCGCTCCTTTAAAAATTCAGACGACTTTTATCTTTATTAGTATTTGGGTCCATTCCCTACAAAAAATGCCCTCGTTTCAGCTAAGCCTTTAACTGAGAATTACACTGCTCGTCTTGACAAATCATTTTACGGATAGTCCACGCACACTTGATCCACACTCTTTCACAGAAGCGAATACCCAACTAGCGTGCTCTGTATGGCGTAGTTCCTTTGCTAGCTGCTCAGGACTGTAGCTAGTCGACGTCCTCGTAGGCTGTCTCCTGGGAAAGACTAACACGTCCAAACGATGTAAACACACAGTGGCTGAGCCGTGGTGCATTCATGCATCAGGTCTAAAACCTGGGCTGTCGGACGTGAAAATAGCGAGCGCTCCGCCCAATAGAAGGCGTGCAAGCATATGCAGGGTACGTCACTGAAACGTGTCCCATTAAGCTCAGAGGTGGAATAGGAGGGAGTAGAGAGCGATCCGATATGACCAGTCATAGGTTCTATGTCATGATTTACACTTGAGAACTACAGAGTTTGCTCTACCTTATCGGATGTGCTACTGTTTGGGCTCGACTTCTATTGGTTTCCTATGTACCATGAATAAGAAGGAACGAAGGGTTTCTTTTTGTTCTTTTTAGCTTCACGGAGTCGTCGAAGACTCTCTATAGAGAAGGGGTAACTCAGCTTTAAAGGACCTGTCCACTCCATATTTCATAAGAAATCCCAGTATTTTAGGTGTCTTCGGTTAAGTCAAACGGAAGATCTAAATGTGCACCTTTGTAACCCTGTTGAGAAATTAATGTGTAGTGTAAACATAATATTTTAGGGCTGTAACTTCTGATGTTATTTGTAATCAAGTGCAAATAATTTTGTTTCCCGCAGTAATAAACTGGGTTCGGATGCCATTCTTGTACCTTTTTCGACCACTGCGTGTTGAAACGTTTCTGGATTTTTGCAGGGAAATTGTTTTGTTAGTTGATCTCGAGTCAGTCAAATACGATTATATGAGCTCTCTGTAGAACTGTACAGTATCACTATGTGTTTAGCATTTCAAACGCTACAGGTGTTTGGACACACTTGCCGTGATAGCTTAGTGGGTAACGTATGTGCAGGCTAATCTTCAGGTCTCGTCATGACCTAGGTTCGAATCCGAGCATAGATACGCGTTGTTGCGCGCTAGGAGCACGTCGTCTGATGGGATGCCTAGCGGTGACGCCGAGCTCGAGATAGGGAAGTATTTGGATATACATGTTTGAGCTCCTCCCCAATGTTTTAGACGCGCAGAGGGCGGCCATTTGGCTACCGCTACAAGGCTGTGATGGACTATATAAGTTTTTGATGCTATACGAGTGTGAGTACTTTTGTATTTTAACGGAGCAGCGTTCGATAAGTTTATGCGACTCTTTGTGTTACAGGCTCAAAATTCAATTGCGATTCCTACGCATGGAGGAGGTTTCTGGGCGGTTGCTGATCTCTTCAAAGTCTAATTTAGACCTTTTCGCCATTGCAATCGTCATGTGGATCGGTAGAATTTTTATTTGTGGCATCTAAATTGAATCAGAAATGAACAGATCGAACGAATCGTGTTCAACGTGCATATGTATTGATTCAAATTAAATTGTCTAGATTTGTTGGTGGCCGAGGCAAAGGATTTCACAACAAATAAAAATATAATATGTTGCAGTTGGTTGCGTTAGATAAATAAACAAATTACTAAAAACAATTTGAAAGCTGTTTTCTTTCTAACGAAGCTTATGAAAAATAGTACACGTGGCTGCTTCTTCAATGTTTTTTTGAACGTTCGGAAATTATTACTTACCTTATGTGCCTGTTCTGTGCATTCAGATTATTCGTAAGAGATATGAATTAAACAATTTTTGTTTTACTTAAAACGAGCCTCTGCAATTTTAACCTTTCTCCTGACTTTTATCCTTGTAAAATTTATAATACCATATAAAAGTTGACAACGAATTTTAGGTCTTGTTTACAAGACACGTAGGGCATCATGCAAATAACGGAGTTCGTGAGGAGTGCATAGGATATAAAAACAGGTCGTTGTTCAACGCTTCATTCAACGTTCAACGGTGTGCTGACATGAAAATCGTGGTCTTCACAATGGTTTCATCGGTTTTTCAGAATGATTTAGGTTACGTTCTACTTCCGCTAGCAGGAAGTACTTACTTCTCACCGTAATAAGTATAATAGATATTATTTATATGTGTTTGAAAGACTTTTGACATGAATTGCAGAGCATTGTTGTCCTCAGTCCCTCTGCGCAGGACATGGTATATCTCAAAATGTGGCCTTGGCATAAGTTAGTTAAGGACAAATCGTGTGTTCTACATACGATAGCATCTCACATCCTGTAAGTGATAGCTCTATATAATAATGTCAATTAGTCGAAAGGTCGGCGCTTCACTTTATAAAAGTATATTGCACAAGTATGGTACGACAACGAGGTGAAAAAAGCTAATGTAGGAATTGAAGGACAAACTCGCAAAGAAAAAGCCCGCTTCACCAAGGAAGAACTTAGGCCACCTGAGGAGTTCTTCAACTTGTGAACAACATGGAAATTTCGTGTAAAGTAAGCGAGCGGTCCTTGATAGCAGGGGTCTGAGTTTCAAATGGAAACTATCTTCAAGGAGCATACAAAAGACGGCGAAGTGTGTCCTTCTTACTAACGCTTCGCAGCAGGATAGTTTCCTTTGTATGAGAAACTGATCTGCCTAGTCTGAAATGACTTGGAGAAAAGGCCTGACTCGTTAGAAAGGTTTCACGTTTTGAGAATTTCTAATTCTCAAAACGTGAAACCTTTCTAAGATAAGTTACCGTTAGATTTGATTATAATGTGCTAAAAAAAAGCACACACAAAGGCCGCGTACAGTTAAGTAGAATTCAAACCTTTTCTTATGTTTCCACGGTCCGATTGCAGATTGAGTAAACTAGTAACATTCTGTCCTAGTCACTCCCGCTTCTATGATAAGAGCATATCAGATGGCTAGATTTCGCTGGTCGCCGTTAATAAGCGCACCCACAGCAGGATTGATTTAGATGTTTAATATAAAAATATATTATTTTATAAATAGCTTAACCACAAACATATAAACTCATAGTGAATGGCAGTGCTCCTTTTTTTTGCCGGCCAACGTTGCCAAAGCCTGCGTTGGAATGCCAACGGACAGACCTCTTGGATAACTGAAAGAAGCCGCCGAGGAGGTGGCCTGAAAAATTTGAGCGCCCAGATGAGGATAGCAAATGGACGGCAAACCAGATGATACTAAGAGCACAACGATAGTTGCCAGGAAGGTTTCAAGTGACATTCGACTCGTTTGCAGGGCTACAAAGAGGAAATATACGACTGTCCAGGTTATCCTTTTGCCCCCATATTAGGAATGAAAACACGTTCTAGCGGTTTGTGCGCGCTAAACCAGTACTGCTCAAATAAAGAGACGCCAAGCTCATCTATCAGTACTCCTTCATTGTGTTTCTAAGAAAAAAAGGCCTGAAAAACCTCAGAATGGACTACCCTTAGGAACTTCATCACAGTGGCTAAAGTTAATTCCTAGGCCGAGTTAATTCGAACTTGTATTTAGGAGAAGCCTGACACCTGCTTTTGTGAGAGCATTGAGTAAAGAAAGACACCATTGTTTACCGTCGTTTTTAAAGAGGGCATATTAACGGGTAGGGCTTCCGGGTAGGAGTTGACAAGCCAGAATGGAAAGCCTCATCTGGGCCCGAAGTGTATACTGCGGGCCCTTCATAACGCCACTAAAAATATCGCTCTCGGTGTGTCGATCACGAGGAATGAACTAGCGGCGGACACACAAGCGTTGCTGGGTGCATATCAATAAGTTCATTTTCAACAAAGGTACACTATATCAAACCAGTATGAAGCGATGACGACCGGTTCCGCTAAAATCAGTCGAAGCTTTAGCATTTCCATTTCTGTCATCGGGACTATCCGAACATTAACAAAACTGTACTTCGGCTGATAATGTGTTATTTTCCGGACAGAAGCGTTGGGCCAGAGCACGTGAACCCATGTGGGGCCGCGATGTGTGCTGGCTTGGAGGAGAGATCCACCAACGTTAAGAAAAGTCAGTATTATTGGACAAGGTAGGCAGTCGCTACTACTTCGGGACAGGGTGTATTTCAGACCATCGGGAGGCTTCTCGTAGTATTATAACCGCAAAGTCGTGCAAAGTATTCCCTATCAGTCGGAGATCGGTGGTTGTGCTATTTGTTAGTCGGCCTGAAAGCGTAAGGCCGGACAAGCGCACGAAGAGATCACCGAGCTAAAGTTACTGAACACTAGAGAATATTGGCTGCGGGATATCACGCCGAGCAAACGTTCCGGAGTCAATACCCGTTGCGGTTTTATAGGAGCAGAGAGAACTGCTACGCAATACCCGTTCTGCTATCTAACAAAGTCAGACCACTTCAATATTTGTGTGTATGCCAATAAATGGGTTGTTAGGGGCACACGCAAATCAAAATGATAACCCATCACGTGCCAGTACGTATGTATATATGCATCTTCAATATTATTGTTAGGTAATGCATGATTTTATAAGTTTATTATTGCCCTTCCTACCAATATTTATTAATGGGTCGCGTTTAAAAGGATACCATCTAAATAATCAGTCACCGCCTGCGCAAGAAAGGACGGGGGGAATATCTCCAAAATCGTATTGCCTCCCCTTACCTTCAGCTGTGCTCGAACGATACGTGCAAAATGGTACCATAACGAGTGTAACGTCATAATAAAGTATTGATGCTACGTTTGTTATTTGTGTTTACGCCTAATGGCCTGGTATAATTTCTTAATGTTTTCATGCTCTAATCTTGATATATTTACTTTAGTTTCTCAGTTTGCTGCGATGCTGCTGGCGTGAGGTACATATAAGTATTTTTGTAGATATATGGCCAGATACAGTCGTATGTACCTTGGTATTGGATGTGCGTTCGGTGCCGGCTAAATCAACCATGAACATCTTTCCAAAACAGTTAGTTCCACCGCTCGGCTGTTGCTTGATCGTCACCTTTAAAAGAGCATGAGATCGACTACTTGTTTCATTGGCTGCCGTTGCCTCCACAGTTCGTCGCTTGTTTCCTCGTTGTAGAAGACGTAAAACCTGTTATAAAACATGGTATGATTAAACACTTAACTCCCTGACATCTACCGAGCTCGTTTAAGTTACTGTATTTAATTATTTAGGTATGAGGGTTATATTTATAAGCCAAGCCTTCTGCTGCCCTGTCAACCGCACAGATATCATTAATATCGGTCTATAACAATATCGGCATAGATCCACGAGCGCACCTTAGAGTATCTGCCCTGGCAGAATAAAATACATCTAAATTTTAAATTGTAGAATTGAATATGAATCATTTTGTGCGCCGTGGCAATTTTAAGGTCAGTCTTTATAATCTGGGTCTCATTAAGCCCTAGCGGTCGTTGTTGCTACTGAGACTGGATGAAGTGGTCTGTTTTTGGTCTACTAAGGTCAATCATAATCAATGCTTGTTTTAAATGGTCTTACTTCTTTCGAACTCATGCATTGCACCTCAGATAAACCGACAGCGTAATAGCCGTCGTTAGGATCTTCACGTAGCTCAAGGCTGTCGTTCAAGTTGCTAAGAAGATCCCGAATATTCTCGTTGTAAATCTGAAACAAGCGATTATACTTCATAACGGTTTTGTTCACGCAAACGAATTATTAATACTTAGAAGATAAGTTATTAGCTTACTTTCTCTTTGTTTGTTGCATTTTGCTAGAATAGCTTAGCGTGTACTATCCTGTTATTGTTCTTGTGACGTAACAGTAAAAACGTGCTTTGCTATTGTTGCATTTATGGCGCACAACATTATTCCAGTAATTAATAGCTGCAGTTAAATCTTCCATTAGAGTTGAAGACACAGTAGATGATCAACTAGTTGCATCATCACCTATTCAGTCTAATGGGAATGCACGAACATTGTTATACTGATTCTTCCTCTTACGTACCTCCAGATAGGATAAGTAGACACTAGTGTCTTGAGTCTGCTTTTCTTGGCTGTCAAAGAGATCATCAAAAGCGCGAACCATGATACCCGGATTTTTTTCATTACCCACCATTGTATAGGTCTTTCCAGTTCCAGTCGCTCCGTAAGCGAATACGCAACTGTTATACCCTTGCAGGACATTTTCGACGAGTGGTTTCACAGCTTTACTATACACCTGTTAATTGATGCACGTTAGAATATGGTGCGTGTCAGAAATGGATTGAAATTAAATGAAGAAGAGAAATGTATAAGCAGCATACCTCAAAGCTCATCAGATGTAACAACAATAGACTAATATGTCGTGAAGTAACAGTAAGCTTTAATCGCTAAGTTAGGTAATAATGTTATTCCTGCATTTTGTATAAATATTTATTACCTAAATATATACAGCTTTTAAATAGCAGTTCCATAAAGGAAAAATGATAATTTTTCTAAAGCATTAAGAGCGTTGTTTTTTCTTCTGTCTTTTTAGCGTGGAAAGCAGGTCTAATGAAAATTTGTTTTTGATCAGACTACAATTAAGTTAAAGACTTCGATTTTTACTAAAACGTAAGGATTTAACTCATAGTAAAAATGAGAAATATCAGACTTGCTTCCACGGCTAACTACGTTAAATATTATGGTAAGTCTTTTTTAAGGTGTATTTTCTATCCATACTCTATATACCTAGCGCGCTATCAGTAGTAGGCCACTATCGGTGTTGTCTGAGTCAAAAAAAAATTTCGAACAAGGCTCAATCGATAGCTAATACGTTTATGTTACGCGCGTATGTATAACAGCTAAACGTCACTAACGATTTATAAAAAATTAAAACGAAAAAAAAAAACATAAATCAAACAGTGAGATATCGAAAGAACAACGTTACGTTTTTCTAAAATGTACTATGCCAACCCAGCCTTGAGAATGCCGTAAACATCTAAAGCATACTCGAGATAAACATGGGCTTAGTTAGCGGCAGTTTTGCACAATCGGTCAACGTTTTTCATTGTGTCTTCAAAAACCTGACACTGAGACTGTAGTGGTAGATCAGCAGCAGATATGTATAAACGTAGTTCAGAAAAAAATAAAAAAAGTAGCTATTTTAGGATGGATATAGACTATGTCATACCTTCTACTAGCGTCCGAATATTTACGCTTTAACACAGCTGAGATGTCTTACTTTTCCCCGTTCCGAAAATAAAATTGGTTCATTATAATACTGGCAGTAATCAGTTGGTGTTGCGATCGGCATTGGTCGATGACCCAAGTTTCTTGAATAAAGGCTCGTCCATAACGGTTTGAATACTATTAAGTTTAAACGCATATACCATTACCAATAGATACACATACGTCCATTGTCAGGGTTTCGCAATTAAATTTTGAAGGTCCCGTAAATAGTTATGGAACTCTAACGTGTGTAATGTTCATAGCTTCTATGAATAGTTACGTTATCCCCTACGTTTAGATGGTCGCCCGACCACATCGTCGAAGTAGAAATTTATTTTTAATCAAATTCAAATTCCTCAATTAGCGTAAATTGCATCCAGCAGCTCAAGTTAGAATATGCCAGTAATGGTACAAGAAACGTAATTAACTTCCGTCAATTAGTGAACTAGTAGAAGTCAACAAAGTAATAATTACCGAATGTATATTCTGATGTTCGACTAAATGTTTAGCCAAGTTATACGTGGAACGTTTATCAAAAATGCAAAATCTGCGACCCATCTAATAATTGCGTAAAAAAAAAGGCATCTCTCTTCCGAGCCTGATACGAAGCTCAATATGAACCGTGATTTTCCTAAGGGCATACCTCATCTTGGGGGCTCCGCTCATCGAACGCCCAGTCGAACGTATACTTGTGGGTCTGCACACGTTGGCGTATAGTTCCCTTTTTTGACGAGCTGACAGATGAAACACCATCGCGGCTCGTTGGCTCAGCAAGAAGCACTGTCTGTTGCCCATGAGGAATAGATATAATAATGTTAGGACAGCATGATCTGACAGCTAAAGCAATTTGAACATGTTTAGCTCGCTTTTATATCAGCTGATTGGCTAAAACGACATTTATAACAGGTGATTTATTCAGCATTAATCGTTCGCTGGCCGTGTATGTCTCTTGGATAGTTCAAAAGACTACAAAGACTCTATGGGAGAACGGAACCCAGTTGCATTGCAGTTACGTGTATTAGAAAACTATTGTACACGTTTTATACGACCTAAATGTTCGGTTTGTAAACCTAAGCAGCTTTTCAGATAAGAAAAAAAGCCGCGACAAAAATGTCATCAATTAAACGAGCTACATTTAAGAAGTGATAAATAGCTTGTTCCTTACTTCACGAGGTGTACTTTTCAAATGATCGGCAAAAAAATATCTTGATAGGTAATTTTTCCTGAAAATAATGTCGCCATGCCTAATCGCTTTATTGTTTATTTATTGCCCATGGGTAGGTGTCCGCGGACGTCCACCATTCATCCTAGATAACAGGACAGACTATCTTTGCTGGCATGCAGTTGGTGATGCATGTAGGTATAAGTGGATTTCACGTCCTGTTTATAATTCTGATTCGCTAGGTGCTTACCTCTAAGCATGCATTGGATACGATATATCTATAGCATTAGCTCTATAGCAGCACACTAAAAAATGTATGTAGCTGGTTTGTGGCGTATAGTTAATTCCCTTGTTACACCTATATTGTTGTTGCAAGTCTATTTAGCGTCCATAGCCAGATTACCACGTATCGAATAAAATTCCCTGGTGGCAATAGAGCCCCTACTCTGGCGTATCCTTTCATTAAGTTAAAATCCAACTCGGGCTACGATACACATACTAAAGGCGGCCTGGCTATAGAATATTTCTTGCTTAAATTAAGCTGTCTGTTGACACCATATGGAGAACTATAGGCTCCTGTTGTTCACAAATTTTGCTCTTAGGGGCATTACGATGTCACGATCCAAATGGCAGACTCTAGCGATTCCACTTGCTGGCATAATGCTATGCACACATGTTTTCAGTTCCATCCAGGTAATGCATTGTTTGGTATCACATCAGAGAATGGCTAAAGCACTTCGTGGGCAATGCTGGCGTTTATTTAAAATATCTCAGCCACTTATAAACACGTACTGATCAAATTTGAATACAACAAACAGCCAATCCATTCAACTAAGTACACCGATGATTTGTATCGTTAATATAAGTGTCTTCTTTGATCAACTTGACTTGTTGATTTTTTTGGGAAGTTTAAGTTGAAAGCTTCAAGTAAAGGATAGTTAGTGGTCAGATTTAGCCTAGAATTTGGGACTGCCAACATTCTGTTTATTCTAAGCTTTACATATTTTAAGCAATTTAAAGGATGAGTGATTGTTTTTTTGTTGCTCAAAGCATTATAAGGCTGACTTTAAGTTTATAGATTTGCGGAAGAGATGCCAGGAGACTAGCGATGACACCAAATTGCCTGACCAAGGTCAATCTAGGATAGCAGATGTTGTACGAAGATCTTTATTTTGCAGAACCTGTAGTCGTCTTGTGGAGGGATGTATCACAAACCGCAGTCAAGTGGCATATGATTGAAAAAAGTGGCAGAAAAATGGGTTCTTAATATAGGATCGGTATATTTTATCCTAGGTATTGAAGTGCTACCTGCTAGACCCTGAATAACAGCCTTTTACCAAAATAGTTTACCTTTGCTCCCAAAGTAATTTGGACTGGTGCTCGAGAGCGTGAATAACTGCCGTGTCAGTGTACTCCAGAAATTGATCCGAGATTGATAATGATTTATAGATCTGGACTTAATATTGATGCCCCTTCAAGCATACTTTTATTAGGGTGCGTCTGTATGTATACGAGAATTGGGGCGACGGAGCATTTAACTGTATAGAGTCGTATCGTCCGCAAACTTTCGGTAAGTAATAGCGGGAGTCTGGTTTTTAAGAAAATTAACATAAAATACAAATGGAACTTCGTTCAAAAACAACTTTCTTCCGAGTGCATTTAAGAGTTGCGGAACTGGAAGTACCTGTGCAAAGTTAACTCGAAAACATTAATCCGATCAATAGCTATTGAACCGTTGACGACATGTCTCAGTAGCCTTAACGTGACAGGTATACTGATATGTCTTTCACGGCTATAGAAGTCTATCTACTGCTAAATTATGACCAACCCTGAAAATTCTCGTATCTTCAACACGAACCACAAATTCTTGACCGAAGGCATTTTAATGGGAAGGGATGAGTCAAAATGTAGCGCAATGAATAGCAGCAGCTGCAAAAGAAAGCATCTATCAGAAAGGCCGGAAAGGGTGCACTTTAATACGACCGGATTGTATGAATCTGAGCCACTCTTAAGCCTTCTACCTTTGAAAATAGAAGCTACCAGAGTTGATTTAGATTAGGAAGGTGAAGTGAATTTGGGAATCAATAAGTTGAAAAAAATACATTCGGTACGGCAAAATAGAAAACGCTAAATATCATCGCCTTATATGGGTCAGTTAGAGTTGAATACTGAAATTCATCTTTAGGATTTCGACACGTCTGGGCTGCCTGAGCGACACCGATACTGGAAAAACGAGGGCGGTGGCAAGCTGATGGAAATTCGGAGAGGTACAGCTAGATGAGAAATGATGAAGTCGGGTTTTGGGGGACCAGGTTGTAAAAAAAGGAACTACCACCAGCGTTTTCGGTTGTAGAAATTTTGTTGGAGAAATACGAAAAGCAAGATCAAGATCTGTCTGACTTCTGTCAAAGTCAGAGGTTTGAACACGTCTGTACACCTACCGCGACGCATATCTAAAAAGCATCAAAAAGAATAAGTAAATGTAATGACAATAAGTGCTTGGTCGGGTCTAGCGTTATCGAAGTATAAAGTTCTGCAAGAGGTTACCTAGCAGAGCATCACAGAATGTAGCAGAGCTTCAATAGACGACGTAATCTGTGTTGTATGGGAGATTTGAAGAGACTTATATCTCAAATTCCATATTAGACAATGTACCTACTGCTATCATTTATTTACCCTTTTCGTTATCTGCTAAGCTAGATGAAAGGTATTGTTTACGATAGAATCTGCTTTGATATGTAATTGGTCAGTAGGTACTTAGGCACGACGGACCGAGGCGCATATGTTTCGTGATCTGCTAACGAGTTCATTTTGCACATGAGCGTGTATGTTAACGCGCTGTTTAAGACGCTTGCAGTACGTACTGCACAGCAGTATAAAGTACGTTGAAATTATGCGCTTTCTAATATTCGATCATTTCATATACGCAGTCATTTTGAACGGACAATGCACAGGAATTCGTTAAAAATAACAACGATAAATATAGCTCCACGAACCAGAGCAGTTGGTTGGTTGATGGACCAGCGAACCGTGGAGGCCACAATTAAAATAACTCATAAGTCCTGAGTGGAGTTTTTTTTTTTGTTGAGATGAGAACATTATATAAACGGCAGTCAAATTAGCGTCGACTAGGACATACCGCACAATTGGCGCAGTAGTAATGTGCTGCGTATTTAAGGACCGTATCACTCTCGGAACGTCACCAGGCTACAGTATCAACATCTTAAATAGCTTTGAATGCCTTAGAGACCCGTCTAGCGACAAGGACGAAGGATAAAGAATCAGAACAGGGAAAAGCCTATTCTGATTCCAGACGGACGAGGAAAAAGCTTATTCATGGAAGTCCATTAAAGGAGGCTGCCCCACTAAGAATATTAAACTTATTTCAGAATAGACGTAATCGAGGCTTTCTTTTTGTTTACGAACTCGATCACACTCTGAGACTCAATACACTGCTTACATTAGCCATTTTATTACTTTATTGAATTTCTGCCCACTTAAAATCCTTACAAGAATATTAGTCGTTATAGTTTGATAATTCGGTTGTGCTTTGCTCAGAGCCTTATATGTTCACTGACTGTAATTCAGATCGTGCAGACTCTTCTAAAAAAAGTTAGCTTTAAGCCTAAATTTTGAGGCTTGTTGTCTACGTCCAGTATATTACACACGAATATTTTTAGGTTTATTGTGGTCCTTGTTCTGGATACGTTTTTAACTATGAAGCTATAAAAAGTGGTTGTGGCTAATAAAAATAGTGCAGACTTGTTAAGCTCGATGGAGTGCTGGATCGGAACAATTTGAACAGTTAATAGCCCCGTTAATTATCCTATTATAGAGAAAGCAACTGGACTATGTTTAGCGTTATAGTTCACCCTGTCATCTGTTTTGTTGGCAATAACAGCAGCTCCTTTGGCAGTCTCCTCGTTGAGAACAGGCCGAATACGAAGCGCTACCTGTAACAGCACAAAAATATATAGGTAATATACTACCGTGCTATTGGTACGGTCTGCAAAGGCAAAAATGCTATAATAACCTCAGTTATTGGAAACCACTGCTGCCGATAGGATCCCATCGATATAATTTTTCTACGGTTTGTTCTTGATACCTTACACGATGATAGTTTAAACGTAGTCAACAATATTCTGTATACACGGTAAATCGATTATAACAATAATCCGACTGAGTTGATCTGATCTGATGGATCAGGAGTACCAAAGGCACCATGATTAGCATAAGCTGACAAAATTGCTTACTCGAGTTGATATATTGACAAATCTGTATAGTACCCGAAAGTTTCTCCTTTACATATACATCATTCAACTGATTGTCTTTGCAGTATACGCAAACATTTCTATAACAAATAACAAGATTACCATATGCCTCGTAAAGTGCCCTATAATTGCCCCATTTGGGAGCAATGTCACAGTTTATCAGCCGTTCAGTAGGCAAGCCTGCACTAAATATCAGTTTAATAAAAAAAAAAAAAAAGGTTGAGGTTTTCTGTATACCCTGAGATTTTTTTGCGATCTATCGAATTTTAGTGGGCAGGGTTTATGGATGTGATCAGTTCGTGATATGTTCCGAACCAACGGTACGATAGGTACTATAGGTCCTACTACGATTCATCTGTGAACTTTGACCGATCATCAAAAATGTGCTGCATCACACTATAATCAATCGAGTTTTTCAAATATGGTAAACAATTAGGGATACATGACCGATGGGTTAGGAAGACGAGCGTAACTATAACCTAGTGACACAAATTATGTGTACAAGTAGTCGTTTTTAAAGCCCTATGAAACAATTTTATACGATCCCATGCGTCGTGGAATTGGCTTTCTGAAATAAAGTAGCGATTCATAAAACGCACTGACCTGCCTCTGGCCTAAAGCCTGTCGCATTAACAAATAACATTTTGGGGAAAAAAAAATCGTAATTTGTAATAAAAGCATCGATGCTGAACTATGCAACTTTGTCTTTCGTCTAGTGCAAAATTTTAATAGCGTAAACAGGAGCTGGCGATTGATAATACGCATGGCCATGAATGGATACAGGCAAAGGTGACGAAATATGAATGCTTCATTGTCTTCTAGTAGCCTCACTCAGTTATCCGTCTTCGATGACGAATGGTCCCACACTGAGGATAGGCTTCCAAATGGCTTCCGGATTATATTGGCCTTCCGTGCATACACGGCTACGATACAATGTTTCTGTTAACATTTAAAAACGCTCTATGTTATCATGCATCGGTAGAGATTTAACAGCGCCAAAAGCACGAGACGACGTCTTACGCTACACTGTCTGCTGCGCTATAACCTAAAACGTTGAAACTCCAGAAACATTTGGACAATACACATAATCATTCATCCGGGTCTTTGCGCTAACGATGTCGATTTTTTAGATGCCGTCCTTAGAAACCTGACTATCCTTTTGTTCGATAATTTTTGGTTTGTTTAAACGAGTTTCTTCAAACACTTATAGATTAGCCATAGTGAAAGAATATGGGAACGCCTACGACTATGGGTTCAAATGTACGGCATGAGCTGAAAAATCCATTGATAATAGAAAGCTATTATACGAATCACAGCGCTTTGGAAATCACTCTAATGACCTATATTGGATCCCTACGAGCCAAAAACTGTAAATGTCGTTATAACGATAAAAAAATCGTCGTTACTTTATCGTTACAACCTTAACCATACTTTTTTTTTTATCAGATAAACGTATCATAACAAGTGACTAGCCGAATTTTCGCCAGAAAATTGATAATATCGCATAGCTGCATGATAACGCATATATCTCTAATAGATTCAAAGATCATCCTTTTATCAGCGTAAGTTCATGATTTAAGTAATGTTCAAGAGAGGCAAACAGAGCTTAGTTTTATCTTTGAGAATAAGCTCTCCCTTTTTTGAGATTCCAAAAGAAGTTAGCATTCTTGCTTGAAGTGCCAGTGGACTACGTTGCACTTTATAGTCACAGCTGAATCGATGCACCTGTGAAACATGAGGTGATAGCCCAATGCAGTATTATAACTTCGACTTCTATTTTTATGAAACAATTGATATCCTGGTTAGAAATTTAACCCTATTTTTAATTTTAAGTACAGATACTGCGTCTATTTCAATTTTGCTTGGACACCCATTGCTGGGGCACGCATTTCAGGGAAGCGAATGAACCATATTAAATACACGTCAGAACTACCTATGTTTCAAGTTTACCTTTATAAATTACTAATTTTTAAAGCAAGCGATATTATAGGTTGTAGAAGTTAACTGATAGTTGTACGTCATCGAGCGTTACCGTATCCTATAGAGTTACTGAAGAATACGTGACACTTTCTTTAGACCTTCGCATAGGCAAAATTTCTCTCTTCACAGTATGTAAACACGAAAAGCATGAGAAAGAGTTGTTTCTGATTTCTCTTCGAAGCATATGGGGGTTTGCCGAGGATGTTCTAGGTCCCGATTGGCAACAAGTAAACATTGTTGCAGTTAATGGCGCATGCTTCGATTTTACTTGCACTAGACCTGGGCTGAAGTAGTCAATAGCTTGTGGGTCCTCTACAATAATAATAATAGCAGTGTATTATTATTATTAAAGGGCGAAATGCCGTGCCTCGTCAAGTTCAGACGCATCAGGTATTTTGTGGATGTCTTCTGGCTCCAGCTGAAGACATACGAAAGAATGTAAACGACGTAACAAAACCATCCGCATATGACGATGATCACTGTCATGAAAACACCTGTTCAATTTTACACTCTGAGGTATTGCGGAACTCTTATTTGCTAATTTCACTTGCAAAAAAATATATATTAAGGTGACCGCGGCTTCTTCAAGCAAAACACAACATCCCAGTAATGGAAGCTAGTAGCGCTAGGGGCTTCGACGGTCGGCCAGTTAGGTATAAACGTATCATTCGGCGGCCCGTGATTCGGCAAAATACGTTTTTCATCGAATTAGAGCAAGGTAGTAAAGTGAGCCGCAACCACAGCATCTGATCTAAAAAATCTGCCAAAGGGGCTACTCCACTAGACTGGCATATTCAACGACGGGAGACTTGTTTCGAAATTTCCAAAAAAATCCCGATCAATTTAAACACAATGATCAGTTAGCCTATTTGTTGCTATAGTGGAAAGTTGTTTTCCAATTCATCTTCTGCAATTAAATTTAGTAGAACATATCGTACTGGTCTCCCGTCATGTTCAGGCACTTAACGACGGAGAAACTCTGGTGCAATGTTAGTCACGTTTCAGTTTCCAGTCTTACTATAGATTTAACCTATCACGGTGAATACGTACTTGAACCACAGCGTTTCAGGGCTTGAAGGAGTAGTTGGCCTGAACGGCCGACAGTTACTTCTATGTGCATCCCAGTGGAGTTTGGTGTCAATCTAATTAATTATGGCCTAAACCATATACAGTAAATATTTATACAAAAGGGGAGCGCTTTATCAACCTATTCGTACGCAAAACTCTTTTAAGCAACAGTAAGATACTGCATGCACACCTTTAACTCCGTGTCAAAAGGCGCAACGAGTCACTTGACCATGTTAAAAAAAAAAATGTCATTCTAGCTTTCAGCAGAGTTCAAATGAAAAATACTACATAACGGCGCGTTATATTTTGCGAGACGTGTAATATATCCGAATTAATACTATAGCATTTAGCGCATCTGTTCAATACTACCCTATAGCATCACGTACAAAGAGAAAATGGGTCACTGAAAAAGTTGCTGGTGTAATGGGCATCTTGGCCTTGTCAGGCTTCGCCGTTGACCTTTTGCCTACTCGATCATCACTCTTCTTCATGGCTTCGCGTTGACTTTCTCGCTATAGCAATGATGATTACTGACTAGAATCTAAGCCGTAATGTAACTGTCTCCGCGTGAACTAGTTCATGACACTGGAGTTTATCGTACGATCAAGTCTGTTCACATTTATCCTTTACGAGACCGACGAAGAAAATCGCTATTACTTGTATTGCCCCTGTCCTAAACGGTTGTGATCGGCCGGTCGTAGGCGTCGCTAAGTTACTGCGCGTCGTATAGCGAGGTCCGTCGTTCACCTAATGGAGATGATAATGACGATATCCTTATGCTGGTGGATTGATCGGGATAGGAGAACACCGACGACGCGTGATACTCATAAACCCTTAATGCGCGATAGTAATAGTTTAAATTCACAGCACGTGCCAAATTTGAAGTTGATTAGCGATGCCAGCCACTACAATATTGTACCGAAAAAATTAACCCTTTAAGGTAACAGATGTCGGTTAGGCAATGCAGCTGCTTCACGCTGTTAGGGGAGTAGAAATAGAGCAGGTGTCTTGTAAGTTTCTTTTTCTCGGCTGTAAGGATCAGTCATGACATTTTACTTGCCGTCCTAGACGTGTCGACGATAGCAGCTGTCTCACCAAGTTTCAGAGATAGTTCGATCTGCGTATAATTCTCTCTAGCTTATATTGTGTGGCCTGAGTAAACTGCGTAGCACAACTTTAACTGTCAAACTGAAATGATGAACGACACCTGCTTCTGCTAGTTCTTAAAGGGTTACGTTACTTTCGATTGTGTATAAGTTTGAGCTAATTCAAATGGTAACAGGATGGCGTGCGTGGCAAACGAGGAGGTGCCCGCCGCAGAATGCTAAACAAACGGTTCGAAGGGGCAGTAGCTGCTTGCACTACTCAAGATCGGGATATGGCATCTCTCCAGTCATCGATAAATAATCAATGCTATAGCGACCAAAATGGACGGGCAATAGTGGAGGCAATTGGAGGTAGCAAACTTCGTATTAGCATTGCAAGAACCGAACTGATCGCAAGATGCACGTTCAAGCCGCCTGACCTTACCTAGTGACCTCAGTCGTTTTCTGTGCATTCGCTATATCAGAATGTCCGCACTTCAAATAAACGATCTCAGCTGGGCATTTGACCGAGCGCGCTTTGTATGCAACCCACCAAATCCGAGGTCAAATGTATATATATATCATATATATATATATATATATATAAACCATACGCCGAGCTAATCACCAATGCACCGTTTGCTTACTGGCCTTTTGCAATTGCGAAGCCACGTTTACGTTTATCACAGCCTCCCCGGTCCCCGTTAACGCACGCACACGCGTTACCTCCATTCCCCAGATTTGGATCTACATCGAAAACTACAACAGAGCATATCAACGTTATGTGTAAGACGTCTCTTCGAGACATGTTTGTGTCTATAACCGGTGATTTACCTTTGGTCTTGTGAGGATTATTCCTTTCTGCGGAATAGATATTGATGCTCGCGAGTCTAACCTTGCTGCGTAGTTCGACACCTTCAGGGGCTCACTACTACAAATACTGACCGGAACCTGTCGATGACGCGCGTCAGCGATAGCCTCATTGGCGGCAACAGGCTCCCGAGGACGCTTATCTGCAATCATTCGTCTATTGATTGTTTTATCGACCGGAGGTGCTATAGGTCGATGTGACTGTAATTTCTCAGGCTTAACTGGCGGTGCCTTTTTAACGAGCAAATTAGGCGCTAGTTTTAACGCAAACTTGAAGGGGACGATGCTAAGCGCCGGTTCATTTGCAGGAATTTCGCGCGGACCTTCACTTGGTGGAATATCTATCCCCTCTGGTGTTGTTACTCTATCAATAATATCTCTGTTATCGCTTAGAGCTATAGTTGACCCTTCAAATGAAGTTGCTGATACTGCATCCTCGATACTTGCCCTTTGCTGAGCCAATAAGTCGACAACCGATACCGGCATAATCCGATTTGAATTAGGTAGCACGAGTACATCATTGTCCTGATTTGGTTGCAGTGATTCGGGGTTTTGCGCTTGGTCTCCGTGACCCACAACAGACGCCTGCGAGCTATTCCATGTCAACATTGCTTCCTCTATATGCTCTAATAGACGATCGTCAGGTATCTCGACGTGTTCCCGTGCACTTTCGAACGAATCTGAGCTATGTCTGCCTCGAAATAGCTTCAAAGCCTTCTTGCTGATAGAGCCCATTGTAGTATCCATTGAATGAAACTTGATCAGAATTGTTGTTCTTCCTGAAGAGCAACACTGTCTCAGGTATATACAAATTGTGTGGGAAATGTCCAATATACTTAGTGCCACGCGAACTCTTACGGTTCTCTAACTAGCGTCTTAGCGTTATACTGGATCACTTCAAATACCTTAATCATGAAAACTGTTGAGTCACTTGAAAATTTAATGTGGCATTATGCTAGAATTAATAACAGGTAACGGCCGTGTCCGACATCATCCGGGCCATCCGTCTTCCATCACATCGTTTATGAACACGCTACGACGAAGATGCTACTTGTACTTATGGCAGTATTGACTAGTGCTGACAATAGCCTAAATACCAGCATTTAAGCTATTGTCAGGATTGAGTCTTGTGACGACAACGACCGGCTACTGGCTACCATGACTTTCTTGGCTAACTCAGTCATTAGTTCAGAACAGCTATATACATAATGAACGCGCGCACGACTCTCGAGAACGCACACCGGCGAACACTCTACTTCTACGGTCGCCTGAATTTCCTGCCAGGATACAGGATCAAACCTGACGTTGTCCTATCCGCTCACAAAGTGGTTCATCGAATCGTATCTGATAGTACTTATTTCTTTACTAAATTCTACTATAATACCAGTCGTATAGATTCGGAGAAGCAAAGGATTGAGTCAATCACTAGAGTAGGCATACCCCCTAACGAATGGCATTGTTCTTCTGCATGTCGTTCTAGTCGACAGCCTCTACCTTATTCCGAGTATGTGCAAGGTACGCACGTATCATTGCTATGCACGCTATAGCCTGTTATCACCATTGCCGCTATGGGGAGAAGAATCTGGCGTGATATCGACTTGCACACATCCGCACGTATCAAGAATGAGTGTGCGCGAGGACACGCCGATCTCTAAGCGACAAAAGTAAGTATCGACCAGCTAGAAGCTAACGCCACCCGTCCGTGAAAAGCGGACCATCATCCAGCCGCCTAGTTGGGTGTCCTCTCATTACACAATACGCTGCCGTCTGTCTGAAGGCAACAGGCAGGAACGCGGCTTGCTTTGTCAGTGGCCATTATGCTTCGCCAAATCACTAGAACCTCATCTTGCTAATAGCAACCTCAGCAGCGCTCGCGTGATCTAATGCTGGTTAAGGATTAACAAACAGAGACGTTAACGGATAGGCTGGCTACTACCTTCTCGAGAATATCGGCAGGCGATCTCCTATAAACATTTACACTGCACGTGTGTACATGAATATCTATACCAATATTACTATTACTTACCATTAGTCGAATTGTCTTTCCGCTGCTCCCGTTGGTTTCATCCTTCTCACCCGGCGTGGCTGTTTTTTTCGATCCGTTCATCTTCATTTTGCTAACAAGCACGAGAACGTAACCGTATCAAGTGCTTTAAAAATCTGTATTTGTTTTTACTATTGCTGCCGTACTTCAACTCAACCGCCGCTGCAAACGCTATCGTAGCATCGGCACGCCAAGAAGGCAATAGTCGTTACATTCTGTAAGTTATCTATAAACGTACAATCGTGCACTGAAACAAAAACAGCGAGAACAGCATCACCATCACAACACTACCAGGTTACTTCAAACAACCCTGTGCTCGGGCCTTATCCTGAACGCTCACTAATAGATTAGATGTTTGTTCGGTTTTTGGAAAACATCGGCTGACCAGGGTTTCACCAGATCGTTCATAGCCTTCACTAAGACTCCACACAGATACCTGGCACCCTTCACTGGTCTGTCTTATCCAGTGCCACCCGCTAAACTAGCATCACAGCATTAACTAAGTTGATTGTTTTGGGTCGGTAGCAGAGCCGACCCGGAACTGGAGCTGAGCAGCGGTGGTGGCGGGCCGTACGTTCGGCGACCTGGCACGCTCTGCTCTAGAGCGTGACCAAGGTAAGTCGACTTGGAAGTGTGGCGGCGGCAGCAGCAACAGTAGTACCAGCAGCTAAACGGCGGCTGAACGGATCGAGAAAGAATGAAAGTCAGTGTGTAACCACAGAGCCTTGTGTAAGGCTGGTCGCGGCCGTTGCTGCAAGCCGGCTGGCGCTGGTAGGGACGCCAACATTGGTGATAGGAGCGCCGGTCGTGGTCGTAGCCGTCAGTGGAAAGGGCGCAGGGAAGGGAATAGAATAGGATGGCACTGATTAAAATGACACGGCCAACAGCAGGTGCAGCTACAACTGGCGCCGCTGCCCCACACGACCCCCGACTAGCTGAACCCCCAGGCGGCCGGCGATGAACGGGGAAGCTAGGGAGGCGCCGGCCGGACACTTGTTGTCAACTGAAAAATGCTCCTTCAACTGATTTCGCACTTTATATTCTGCTTGGATATTTCTAATAGCATCTGTCTATGTACATAGAACATCATGCATGAACGTAGAGCACATGGAAGGAGCCACGTAGCATTACATGTGCCCTTGCGTATGTCTGACCGCATGGATACAACAACTGTACGGTTAATAATTGCTCACATGAGCTTATTGTTCGTTAAATTAACTAAAATCAATCTTAATTTTTAAAATACAATATTTAAGATTAGCGGTTGCCTACTCTAAGGTTTAAATATAATTCTATAATTCTAAATATAATTCGTTCTATAATAATAGTATAGTAATAAGCGGATTATTAAATACTGTTTATGGCAACTCCCATTACAATAATCATCCTTGTAACGCACTGAAATTCTGAGCCGATCCGGAGCGTTGGCAATTACTAAAGCATAAATAATGCTTGATTAAATAGGTAAATTTTCAACTATAAGGCTCCGTTTGTTGATAATTCAGACTCTGCAATAATCTAAATGCTATACAGAGTACGTCCAATGCACCAAGATAAGGATTAACGGCCTACATACGTGGTCCTATCTTTTGTACGAAACAGTAAAAAAATTTACATCATACATCACATTAGCTGATTAAAGCTATGCCCAGCGTTTGAGAAACCTGAAGTTATTGTGTAATGGGCTACAGTTCCAAACATACCTTGTAACTGTACGTTGTACTTTTCAATTTTTTTGCGTACGCTCTATAGCTTCATTTAAATTATCTGACTGATATCAAAGGCATAGCAACTGCAAGATTGACTGTCGTTTTGTTACGGATCCTTTTAGATGATCAATCGTAAAGACCAGTGACGAATATTGTCAGCGTTAGCCATTTCACTCAAATTCCTTAAAAATAAAGTCTTATAAATTGCCTAGCTGGTTTTTTCGCTAACTTTGCTCATCAGTTTTATGGTTATATAGCTGATAGTGGGTTTTTCGCTAACTTTGCTCATCAGTTTTATGGTTATATAGCTGATAGTGGGTTTTTGCCTGCTAAACATACCTATACAAATGACCTTCTGTCCTTATAGACATAGACAATATGCGCAGTTCCAGATGTTCGATGTTCCGTATCAGATCTGATCGGCACAGGTCACTAGCCTTTAATTGACTCTAAAAGCCTTCTACAGTTGTTACACAGGGCATAAACAGTGAACGCTTGCTTAAAATAGTTTGAAAACTTCTTTCTGTCCTAATAATATGAATCTTCCCTTTACGAAAGCTCTTCACCCGACATGACAAAGGTGAGTATCATACTGAGGCAGGGCACAAGCCTTTGTGGATTTTCGTCATAAGTCTGACCTCACTGGAGAACTGCTTTTCACCGGCGGAATATGGTATAAATTGGTACGTACATGTGTAGTAAAATACGTGCCAGAAGGAAGCAGCAACAGCTACAAAGAAAGGATGTATGTTTACAAGGGGCGTATTGGGTCTCTTTACCCCCCTAGATACTATGACCCTGGACGTTAACCAGGCTTATTTGATCCGACCGACTCGGGAATGGATAAGTCACTCTCGCAGGACTTCTTTCGAGAGATGTGTCTGTAAAAAGTAATTAAATATTGTCCATATCGAAATCGGATCACGATACTAGATCGAATACTATAATACCTGGCTGCCAGCAGTTAAAAGTGCGCGGGCTTTTATCGTGTAAGCGGTCCGGCATGTCCAGGATACCACACTGAAACTGTATCTTAAGGGAAGTTATGGCGCGCGTTAAAAAACAGACTGCAATAAAAGCTTGTATGTGAACAGCGGGAGAAGCACAGGATTGTCACATCTGTGTAGCTGATAATTGTCAAAGCGAAGCTTTAAAGTAAATAGTCTGAAGATTTCACATGCTCCTGTATCTGACAAAATCATCCAAACTTCACGTTATTTTGGCTCTTCGAAATTCAGATAGAAATATCTGATGATGAAAATTAAAGGGGAGACGAACAAGAGTCCACGTTTAAAAAAGATCTACTTAGGAAGCTACAAGTGACATGTTGCATTATAGAACTACACTTCAACTACATACAGATACATTCATACGCACGCTATATTAAAATCATTCTACTGAAGTATATTCGTACGTAAGTAAGACTATTTATTAAGTATAGAATGATTTCGGTGTTGTGCCGGTGTTGGATAATGGCGTCATTAGCCAGCCATCGTAGATTCTTTCAATGTAAATTGCTATCGTGGCAAACCAGATTAATCAGGCAAAAAAGCTGCTTAGTTTAACTAGTATTACCGTAATAACTTCACCTATTCTTTATGTTGCTTATCGGTGTAAATTTAGGCCATCGTCCTATTTCATTAAACTGTTATGTTAGTAATATATTTCTATTAATCCAAACATTTACGATGGCTCTTCTTGGCGCCATCGTGGAAACATTTAATTACGCAGATTGTGCAGAGTTTTGGGACCAGCCATAAATGAAATTTTTGGTAGACTCAAGCGTGTGATACATTTTCGAAATTAACGCGTTCCCTATAGAGTAATAGTATTAGTAGGTAGGTCCGTCAATATAGACCAAGCCCCCAGGGCACTAGATCCTATAACATTTTATTATATTGAGACGGACGATAGGCTCAGCTAAGCAGAGCCGCATATTTCACACGCGTTGTCCACTACTAATATTTAATAAGTGAGGTTGTCAGCCCTACTATAAAATACTCAAGCCCCATATCTAAAATTACAATCGATTGACAACCACTTGACAGGATCAGGCTATATCACGAGCTTCATTTTGTCGCCTTAATCAAAACCGAGGAGATGACAGAAACAAATATTCATAGTATGCATATTTAGTGTGATTAATTCAAATAAACAATAGCGAATGTGTATTGCTGCAGTCGTAAGTAAAGATGTCAAACCCCGGTCCTGGTAAGCAACAGGAGCGGCCATTTACAGTCACCTATTCACCGAGCCTTCAAGTAAAATGTCAACACACGCTTTCCCCTTTCCTGCTATTCACATCTCCATACGAATAAGTAGTACGGCTTGAAAAGGAACTCACATTTTAATCGATCCGTATGCGAAGGTCCGCGTATGCTATGTCATCGTCAAAGCGGTTGATTAGCATCGTCTGACCGTCCGATCCGGGGCAGTACCCGCTACTGGACGGCGCGTGACAGTCCCACTCGTTCGGGACGCGTCTGAGCGTCATAGACGCTACCTACTCTGTTGTAGGCTGCGTTAAATTTGGTTCCGCCACCACCTCACTCGAAGGAAACCACCCCATAATTCATGTCCATAGCCTTCGCAGAATCAGGCCGACATCGTATGCTTACGCGATAATATAGCTCTAAGCTTCAAGATTCCTTCGTTATTAACATATAGGCTGACAGGTAAACCAAAAGTCACCGAAAATATAATGTAGATGGCTATCAGCTAGCTAGCTAGCTACCGGGCTTTTTTCTTGCCTTACGCGTTGTACCTTGTCGATGAGCTGGTGACAAAAGGGAACAATTGGAGAATCATTAATCCATCAACACAAATTGAACCAATTACTACGATATTTAAATTCAGATCGGCAATCATTGGGTGGGAAATCTCTGAATAAGAAAAGGCTAGTACTTGTTGATTGGCGAAGAAGTACGTCGCCCCATGAAATCAATAGCTCAATTAGCCCATTGACCGGTTGTTTTTCTGAAAAAATTGTGAATATTTGTCTCATGTTAAATTGCCAAAAGTATCCACTGCGTCAGCTTACTACTATGGGGCGAATGTACGATTTTAAGAATCTATAAAGTGATTTTCTCGTGGATGGACGAAAAATGATCTAATCAAAGTATTGCCAATCGTTCAAGTGGTTTTCACGTGCTGCTGCGTTCCTTCAGACTGCCATCAAACATCGATGCGAAACCCACACTACTTTTATGTAGCAGGGGCAACACTGCTTCACTCTCGTAATAGTAAATATGTTAAATCGAACATAAAAATGGCCGATTGAACAATGTGTCGCCATTGATGATGATGGTAGCTGACGACAAGAACAACACCCATAACGACAACAGCTATACAAGACGTAAAAATAGAATTAAGATATACAACATGTGTAGATTCTTCTTTTCGGTATTTACAGCTTTTACAGCCTCATTGGCCTTATTTTCATTGCTTTGAAGATTTTTCAACGAGTTAAATGGTACTTCGAAGGCAAGCTGACGCTTCTGCGGACACGTCTAGTTTGGCCTCGAATTTTTATCAATTTGTTTCGTCCATTCAAATAAATAGTACGGTAAAAAAAGGTACCACGTTGCACTACGGGAACATGCGTAAGGTTCATAAGCGCCTCTCTGATTGTACCATACCAGTCAACAAAAGCTGGCTGCCGTCTGCCGAATCCGGGTTATAGTCTGGTAATTCGCAAAATTTTGAAACTGTAAGATAGTTACGAGCGAATCATAATCTGCATTTTTAGTCCCCCTGACATGCTCGCAGAAAGTCATCCATGTTACGTCACTAATATCAAGAAACCCAACGTGTGGCCTGCAATAGACAGCCAGCCAGCCAGCCCTCTTTTCAAATTCATCGGAATTAATGGCCGCTTATTTGTTTTCCGTATGCAGGTTAAATTTGTTCCGTAATTGCTAGAACTTATTTTTGATATCTCTTTAGCCTTGAGATAAACATGACGCAAACAAATCAAAGAAATATACACTGATATCTCTTTGATAGATTATGGTTGCACAGCCACAGAATACGTATCTCACTAAAGGGTATATAGCTGTCCTATCTGACTCTCGCCCAATCGCTTGCAAATGCTAGTACCCTGGAAAGGCCAACGTTTGCAAACGCATGGGGTGAAGAGACTTTGATAGACATTTTCAGACCAGCTTGAAGAATTCCTCCTCGATGATTCGTTGGTCTACAACCTGATGGCAATACTGCTTAGCTTAGCATAAGGCCAATATTCTCCTGTGAAACAGTATCATTAATACTCGCAGTAAAATATTGAAACATATACAGTAGTGACCATCCGCATAGGCTTCTTGTGTTTTGCCCAGTAACTCCGTCCTGGAAAATTAGAGTGTTTCGTTGGTATCGTATCAAGTTCCACCAATCTGATCTTACGTTATGTTAACTTACCAAAGTCGTGAAATCTATACCGGACGAACTCTTGAGGTTAGCGAAAGAAATCGTCTCCGTGACATCTGTAAAGGATAACACTCCCACTGATCAAACGTTTAACTTACCTACATGCCAGTTGGGTCCAACGGTGCGGTACGTAGAAAGAGTACCATCTTTAGAATGGTCTAATCACATCTCTAGCCACATTAGTCAAGCGTTTGTACTTTCTAGTTTATAATAACAGAAAAAACAGGCGCTGAAAATACAGTTACTTCGTCAACCGGCCCCCGAGGACTGCGGAATTATCAAGCGGAAAACGTGCATGATAAGCTTGCTGGAACGTATTCCCTGAGGGCACTCCACCTTATGGGCGAAACTTTTTTTTTTAACACACTGTGCATCTAGCGCAGCAATCAGGATCAAAACTATAAAGTTTTGCCATGGTGCCATCGATTATTAGACAAGCATTGTCTGCCAGTTCGTGTAAAGCGGCATTTCCGTCCGATGACGGACCGTTGAAAGCGTACAATATGGCCGGCGCCTTCGGTCACTAATCGACAGAAGAATAAGGAGTCATCAAGCTTGAAACTAAATTAAAGATCAATAATGTAATGGCCAGCATGCAGGTTTGGGGGTAGAGTTCGAAGTTGGAGAACAATGCGGACAGCTCGTTCGGAGGTCTTATATGGTGTCACGCAGGTGAAGGAGACGTCACGTACTGAATAGACGTTAACTTACTTATTACTTTGAGGCGCTGCGCGTAGTCGAGCAGTCAGGTGATCCGAGACATGGTTGATTTCCATAGTAGAATCACACCGGTATCTTTGATAAGGTAGAACGGTTATGGGCGATGAATTTACGGGAGACAGTTTAAAAGCAATTCATAGAAATAGAGTCCTTTTTTCATGCTTTACGTAATAGATGTCTTTTGGAATTGTGTGCTTCTACGGAGCACAGCATCAACTCGGCACGAAAACAGTGGCCAAAAATGCAAGTAAATTGACGGAAAAATCGATCAGAATGTACGCAGCCTAGTAGAGTATACTGGAACATACAATCTCACTAGTTCTATAACAGAATGCTTAACGAGCAACAGCAGCTGAATTTACCTGCAGACAGTAAGAATTTTCCAGTAGAAATTAACTAATCCAAAGATGTAACGTACCTAAGTTATCTTTCGCAGCACGAAATACCTTTGTAGTTAGAAGATCTTTGTCGTAACGTAATCCTACATGCAGGCTACGGAATTTCCTTAGCCGCCGGCATGGTGCACGCTATAAGTGCGTCGCCGTTACAGAGAGGCGTACCATTAGCATCATCGTTAGCCGTTGTGCTACGTCTTAAGTGCTTAATAGAGAGATTGTCCAGGTTCGCTTTACGGACTGAAAGTATTTTACGTTCAAACGTAAGTCAGAGCGGTCTGTCTAGCCAATAAATGTCGTCAGAAGCCTTATGTCGTAGGAAGAAGCTGTCAGTTTGTTGAGTCAGAATAAATATCTCTCTATTTTATAGCGGTCAGGCCGGCTCTAATTTACTGTGATGTTTAGATCGGCAGGTACATAAGACAGGTAATTGCTTTCCGTTAGAAAAAACCTCGTATTTTATTAGAATAGGTAATACCAAAATCATTTTTATTGGGACAGGATAAAAAACATCGTTGGCTTTTACGTATCACTGGTGGGTCTTCTTTACAGAATATCTCTGTAGATTACAAAGTCTTTAGGAAGGAAACGTGTCTAAAAACATGCTTTTCTGACTCGATCTATTTAAAAGGTATCCAATCAAATTCAGTTCCTGACATTTGTAATATACAAAACTAATGTAAAAAATATATATATATATATATACACACTGTAATTTGACTGGGCGATGTTTTTTGCCGGTAGAAATTCCAGCTACTTGATATTACTGGAGGAATCTATTTTACGGCGCATTTGAATGGACTTTGGTGGAACTTTATTTCCAACACCTTCATCACTATGTGGGAGCATATCTTGATCAGAAACTTCCAAACAGATCGATTGGGCGAATTAAACCTATGAAATATCGTGCCTGCCCCCCAAACCTGACACCGACCGACTTTTTTGGGGTTTTTCTCAAAAATGAGATTGTGTGGGAAAACTTATGACCATTCGAAAACGGGCATAAAATAGAATCTGTAAACCAGTGGTCTCTGCTAGAAAAGAAAAAGCATTTCACCTAGATTACTTTCGATTTTAATGAAAGTTATATGGACATAGTTATAATTATTTAAAGTGTGTATACATTTCTTCTATATATCTATTCAGACTATGGCAAGAGGCAAAAAAACCTTCACTTTACATTTATCGAAGTAGAAAAAAACGTCAGATTAAAAAATGCAATTAATCGTAATCTGTGTACATATAAACACATATATTTTTGTTGGCGCCAGAGTTTCAAAGGGTAGTATGGAGGCCATCCAGGTAACTTTGCCCACGATGTGCTTTAACGGTTCAACCATCTAATCTGCGAGCAGGGCTAGTAAAGTAATTGGTTGCTACTCGTTGATTAAGCGGTACCTCGATAAATCATCAAATTTTAAAAGTATTGGTTCCGTTGGCAGTTGTCTGCCCGAGATACAGTTATAATTAATTATTATATAGTTAGTATACTAAATTTGCGTATGTTTCCAGGCAATTTTCTTTAGACACTTCTAGCATTGTTAAAAAACTTCGACATAGTTTAATCGACTTGTGTCAGCAGTCGTAACATAGATAGTTCTATAGGAGAGGTTTATTCGGCCAAAAGTTCGAGTTATTTTAATTGAGGTTGTAAATGTCAAAAAGTTTCGCCATTATGGCTAGCGTGATTGGTGTACTCTCCACTTATATGTTGAAAGATAGGCAAATATCGGTTGTGAAGGCCGCAATTCGTCGTTGTTTGTAGTTCCATTGGCACCGAGATGTCGTGGCGGAACTATACGGTCCGTTTTACCAACGTTGGGGTATGTAAACTCGCGTTTATTGCGTATCTGCTGCACGTTCAAATTCATTATGTATGTGTTTATGCTAAATAAATAACTCATTTAGGTTCGATAGGATATTTAGGCACATGCTATATTTTGCATATTACCAAAGTTACAATTCATCTGAAGTAAGGTTTCCAGTCAGCTTTCTGGGTCTTCGTCGTAGGTTTTGACATAACTGGAGTGCGAGAAAAGCTTCTTAGTTTGTGAGCGCCAGGTGAACTTGTCTAGAAGCTTCGCCCTAATGGTGCCTAGTGGTACTTAATAAAAATAACTTAAATTCTCTTAAAAAAAAGTGAGCTTACCTAAACTTACTTATCGAGCCGAATTGTTACATAGCATTTTTATATGCGATGCTTTGGCTAATAGAATATTACAGCTAATATGATAGAGTTAGTAAGTTATATGTTTATTTAAAATACTTTCGTTGACTTTAAGCTACTTTTTACATGGCAAACAAAGACGTTTAAACCAAATTTTAAGCATTTCTTCCTCCTTGACCTTCTGGGACACCAAGTCGACTTCTGATAGTAACACTCCCCGTAATAGGATATTTCTAATAAGAATACAGGTGTGAAGATCATATTAATTGGATGGGCAATTTATAGAATCATTTACATCGCTTTGTGTGTCGTTTCAGATTGGACACGTAGATGTTTCTGAGAAAAACTATAGTTTATAAGATTCTTCTAACATATTCCATTTTGTAATATATCGAACCTGTAAGAGGGTTTAATTTAACATCTAACAGATACTATAGACATATTAGATTTGACTGTAGTAAAGTATGGAACGCAATATCGTCAAAGATGAGGTCAGTATTAGGCGTACATGAACACAGCACGCAAAAGGTCACACAACAGTAAGAAAGATCATTCATAAACTAACATCGTCACTTATACGTCTTCAAGCAGTTTCCGCAAGTAAATTGCACGTAATCACGTTCAATCGGCGCTTTTTTTTGTGGTGTATATATATATATATATATATAGCTTTTTTCTGCAATAAAAATACGCATTCCTTGCTAAGGATAAAGTATAACGTTCTATGAAGATTTGAGATCTGTGAGGCAGCTTAGATATATTTTCGGCATATTGAAAAATACAGTACCTTTCTTCGTGTTATGTTACACGTCAGTGGTACCCGTACGTGGATATACTTCGCGATAATTTCGGCCGTAAAACTCTCACTGGGCTTACCGGCCACATGCTACATTTCATCATCGGTTCTATGGACATGAAGTATGATGTCGTGTTCCCTAACGATCGCCAGTGGGGAACTCTTCTACCGAACGGGAGCTGGACCGGGATGATTGGCGATCTCACCCGAAACGTTTGTATAGACGCGGATTAACTATAGCGCAGTAATTCCATATTTACGCCAAACCGGTGCAGGTAGTTTCTCTGCATTTGATGTAGAGTATGTTGGACCCATATGAAGCATAAATCACTTCACAAGATAGCTCAGAATTTTGTTTGAGGATGTCAATAATTCAGTAGAGATAGATAGAAAAAAAAAGCTCATCTCCCGAGGAAATCCTGTGATCATAGCTAGTGATATTTCCTAAGCATATAGTATTCATGATATTTCGTAATAAAATTTTTTTAATAACGACTTTTTGCCATCCGATGTGAACTTAGGGCAATAAATAAGATAAGAACCCTGACGTAAATACCGGCGCATCCAGAAATGGCATTTTCATCGACAAGCGAGAAGGAACTACAACAATATGCTCAAAACTCTCTAAATAAACTTATCAAAGCCTATGCAGCTATTGATTAAAGTGTACAAAAAATACCTAGCTAGCTAGCCAGCTAGCTAGCCGAAAAAGCGTTAAATTTTAAAAAATTTGAATTGAACAAATTTCATGCCCATATACGTCCTAAAAATGCATTTTCAGCTTTGAGTCCAAAATCAGCGAAAAAGGTAATGGGGTCCGTATGAACCTACAATATCCTACTTCGGGAACGATACAAGCTGCTTAATTCATAATTACAAGTGTGTTCAATACATTCGCACACAGTATGCCGATATCGCCGTCGGTCCTTTCGTAATGACTCAAGATGAAGCTGCCGTTGCAATTCCTTCGTTGCCATACGCGGACGAGGATTTGGTTATATTATCTGGGGTGGATAAAGAGCATGAGTCGAACGTGTACGGATACATTACCACGATGGACTACCAGGTTAGCAAGGAGAATGGTATAGACGAGCTTACAAGCCCTGTGAGAATAAACGTGACATCTATAAGTCTACATCTTGCGGCAGAAATAGTGGTCTTCCTCAAAGAAGTATACAAGCGAAATACATAACATCACAAACACTCCATGCGTGTCTATTTATCTATACAATTACTATGTGACACAGGTATGGTTGCTACTGCTTGGCAGTTGCCTTTTTATTATGGGCGTCGTCGGCATAATGGACCTTCACACAAATCCTTACATGACACGGAGGCAGAGAAGGTATCGCTTTTGGAGAATCTTCTGGGTCTATTGGGCTGCCGTCTTCTTTGAAGGTCGGTAACAATGTACTAAACATTGTCTATAGATACAGATTGTTTTCCAGTACTATTTACTTCTGTGCTTTAAAGCACAGCCATAAAAAATACGAACTCAACACTCTGTTCTGCTGTTCTGTGGCCAGCAGTCTCTATAAATATACGATAATTATCTCTGTATTTACGTGCTTGTAGGATCTGTAATACACTTCCATTCTCATACGCATCGAATACTCCTTGCCAGCTGGTTATTGGGCGTTATGGTGATTATGCATATGTTCGTCGGATACATGGAATCTACACTGATGGTCAAATCTGAAACATTTCGGATCAACGATGTTGAGGAACTTCTTGAACGACCGAAGATCGAGCCAATGATTTATGAAGTTGGCGGCTACAGCTCTATCTTTGAGGTAAAGTTACCCATTGTGTATCTCTTCTAGCTAAGTGTCTAGCCTCGAAGCTACTGGAAAGATTGATATATATATATATACATATATTGACGAAATAAGTTGTTCGCTGTTCTTTTACAGAACACCGAAAGCGATACCTTTAGGAGAGTGATGCAGCAAGTGAGGAAGCATGGCCGGTCCGCTTATGGAGATGAAATGTTTACACCGGATTCGCTACGACGCATATTGGATAGAAAAGCGGTGATCCTTATGGAACCCCTTTCACTACATACGCGCGTCGGCTCGCAGTGCGATCAGTTTAAGGGCGAAGGTCTATTCCATATTAGCAAACAAAGGTTACTGCAAATTAAGATGGTGTTCTATATGCGCAGACAACTCGACCGAAAAATTCAAATAGAAATCCAAAAGAGGTAATTCGTAGCTTGACAATATCCGGACATAATGTGCTATTTTCGTGTCAAATCAAATAATTATTGCTACAATTTATTGCTCAGATATCAAGTCTACTATGTGATTTTGTTTTATGTAGGCTGCGTTTTATAATCGATTCCGGTATTTTTCGACATTGGCACAATACGCTGGTTATTGATAAAGGCGCCTGCTGGACCGTCGAACGTTCTGACCATATGCACGATTATGAAGATCTACATTATTCGGATCTCGCCTCCATCTTCTACTTCTATTTTGCTGCATTGTATATGTCATTCAATGTTCTGGTCATTGAAATCCTCTACCGGCGAGGATACTGTTGTTGTAAATATTACCCGGTAAGTATTTTCGTAGTAGTAGTAGTAAATAGTGCCCGGAAAGTGAAGTAATCAAATTATCATGCGCTGAATTAACGTGTATATGCAAAAAATTAGGCTTCAATTTAGAAGCTGCGCACATAAAGGCCAATTCATTTCAAAATAACGATACAAGTATGCAAGCTAGGCCAACGTTCAAATAGACATTTTTCCATAAAATCATGCGCCAATCAACAGTTTATTAATACGATTACAATAGCTTGTCCTTTTTAGGACAAAACCTGAAATCAGCCATGGCTAATTTTCAAGTGCTACAAGCCAGCCACCATTCGAAATCCGCTCTTGTCTATTAAAGCTTCTATGTTAGCTACGATTGAAACTTTTCTCGAGCGTTTTGAAACGATGGCGTATGCAACTGCCACTCGTATGCAGCGTGCAGAAAATCGAAGAATGAACTTAATATTGCAACGGCAAGAAGAAGAAGAAGAAGAAGAATCTTCAATATAAAATAATGAAGATATTCGTTAATCTTGAAAAATGCTTAACTATGCACAGCTAGCATTTCGAGATGCGTCCGTGATTTTTTTCTAGAGACAATGATAAGAATCCAAGTGCGCGTTTGATATAATCACATGACTGTTCCCTAATAAGCTCTAGCCAAGACTACCTCAAGAACGAAGTGTTCTTGCAGTGTTATATATTCCTCGGACGGAAGAATCCCTCACACAAACTATTTCTTGGTAAAATACGTGGAAAAGCGTGCATACGCCAGCAACAAGCGGGATATTTATATCTGTCTTGTAAGCACCTCGTTACAGTAACAATTAGTAAGATACTTCCGCTTTGGCGAGGATGTTCTTAATAATGTTATGCCTCCTATAGCCGGACAAAGTTGCAGAAAAGGAGGAGAAACGTCGAATCATAGAAAGGATGAGAGCTGAAGGCGCGGCAAGCGCTATTCCAAGCAGCTGGCTGGAAGATATCGCCATGCCCTCGAATTCGGAAACAACTCGGGACGAGGTAACAGACCTCTTGACGCCAAGGTGAGGCTATCTACATTGTTGGCATTCTACATTATTGTTATCGCCTATTAGTTGCTTCTCAAAGAGCTGACCGCAGTCTGTACGTAACTCTAATTACGAATTGTTTAAAATACTCCAATGGCAGACATGGTACTCAATTGAGCTATTATTATATATTCCTCCAAATATGGGAACTATTACGTCACCTAAGCCAATTGCGTATATGAGCAAGGAAAGATCGCTACGCTACTATTTACTTATAAGGCCCACCTTACTTCAGGGTAACATCAACGACGAGGTTCACAGCACGAAACGGCCTTCATCCCCGAACAATCTCGGGTTTTTTCCATTCTGAGCCGCCACGGCAGCACTGGTGTGAGTTTCCAGGCGAACATCCCAGGAAAAGTTTCGCGCCTCACCAAAACTTCATTCGTCTGTACGTTTTTAGTGGCGGCAGGTCAAGTAATTTAGCTAGCAGCTCATATTTGTCGAACCATGGATATCAAAGAAGTTCTTTCAATAACGCAGAACGTTCAAAACTGTTCAAGTTGTTTACAAGTTGTTTAACTCTCTGTTACTTATGGTGTGGTGTATGTAATAGCAGTGGTTACTTATGTTAACCACTGCGATTACATGGCTTCTGCCTGTGAAGTTGCAAAGTTTCCTTCTAAATCTCCCGTTATTCTACCAGTACAGCGCATTATTTTTTTTTTCTTCGATGAAACCACATACCATCTATTATGAACCCATTGACCACTATTGTTGGTCCTTGCCCATCTAGTAATTGCTTTACATTGACTGGCTTATAGTCTCCCGAACGATACACACATTGAATAGCTGAAATGAAAGGTAATGAGATTCAACATATAAATCGTAAATTGACTGTTGAGTAAATTAAACCCATTAAGCCCAACCAGTGCGATATCTATAGGCATCATGGAAATTCAAAAATGTCTTGCAATACGTTCGAATTTCGGTCCGCATCAAAATGACGATGCCCCTATTGAATCGCTAAGCAGACAACATGGTATCCCCCGGATATTAGCGCCATCACAGAGATAACGAATGTAATTATCATTCGCGAATTCAATAAACATCCCACATCCGTCTCATTGTGGACAAGGACACCTAATTCAGTTAGCATCGCGATCCGACGAGCCGATCTACGAAGTCAATCCCCCAACCTGCAAAATCGGCCTAAGTAAGGAACTTCATCAATCTTCGGTCCAGCCGTACGCTATAGATGGCGTGTATGCGGCAGAATGTATATGGAAGTGAGCAAGTGCCCCAACTTGATTCAGCAGTTCCCACAAACATTTCTGACGTTTGCTGCGAATCGTATAAAAACAGTGTTGCAAATTGTAACAATTATTATGAAAGTCAATTACAAAAAAACTCTTGGCTATCTGCACATTACTGCACTTATAACATCAGCGTACCCCAACTCACTATGATTTATTAGGCGTTCTGTGGAAAACGATTACTCTGGACGAGTGGAATTAGTGTTAAAAATGCCGATTGAATTGAACAGGAGTGCTAAAGCTCGCCGTGAGAGACGAGGCGGTAAAACACATGTAACTGTGCTATCGGCCACAGGTCAGTGCCGACACGATCGACCTATATCGAGCTACGAAGCACATGCCACCGTTGGTCCAGAAGTCGTACCTAATGGTAGAATTGCCTCGACCGAAGCTGAGTATCCAGAAGAGCCTGTCTATGGGCAAATTTCGGATGAGTATGTTCACCCTCTACTTAATATGGTAGACTTGCTAAATCTCTGGGTTTTTCCTAGTACATTCTCGTCCTAACTTAATAGAAATAGTGCTTCTAGCATTAGAGTCTTTATATGCGGTTTTTCAACAATGATAGACTACAGAAGAGGACCTTGCAGTGCTGAAGTTTAGTCTACACATAAAATCAATTGAATAATGACAGCACTGGGAGCGATGAGATGTCAACGTTCAATGAAACGAAGGGTATATTGAGTACCACTCAGCCCTCAGTAAACAGCCCTTGTTAGCTCTAGGTGAAATTAATAGTGGAGATTTTCATAGAACGTTAAACATGTCTGTGTTTTATTGACCCCAATAAATCTTTTTAGCTAAAAGGTCCTGAGTTCATTTAGCTCGTTCGAACTTTCAGAAACGAGGGACTTTCAAATTAAACAAGTGATATAGGTGGCGGTTGGTGAGATGGCAATCATCAAGCATTCGAATAACTATGGAAAATGAGACCTCTTTGACTGAGCATTGTAGGATGCTTTCGTCTGTGCCTGAATTAGGTATGGGCTAAGCTTTTCTCATGTAGGGAAAAAACGGCCTATAACGTCGTTGACATGGCCTTTACGGTATTGATTCGGATCAGTGTCTGTAGGTAAAAACTTCCTGTTGAATATACGACAGCATCTTTTGTAGGTCGTATATATTTAACGGGTAGGGCCGCCGTGACTGTACAGTGTGTACTGGATCCCAGTACATGGGAGTGAAGAATAGGAACTTAGAGTGTCCCTGCTTGAGAGACTGAAATTGTTTGAGCAGTAGGGACATTTTATAATCCTATGGCCTAAAATAACACTTCAACTAATACACTATCGTAGAGCGATTTGTTTCAAAGGCAAATATCTTACTCATTACTTATATCGGAGAAAAAAAACAAGCTACTTGGAGTAGATATATCTAATTAAAATATCTATATCTTGTTCTTTAAAATTAATATTGATTTAGACTTCGAAGCTGCGTTCGATACTATTGAAGGTTATTAAGCGACTTGAAACTAGGATCGTTGAAGTGAGCGTATGGAGTCGAACGACAAATACATCGCAGTGATGTTTAGAAGTGCGTTCCGTATACGATTGTTTAGTTAAAATAACCGTGCTAAACTAAAAAATTCTCTGCTTAGGTTGGTAGGATCACCTAGATTGCTCAGCGGAGCAAGTAGATGTATACGAGCTAGCCACACATTATTATAACGCACATAGAATTATAGTATTTACCTTAAAAACGGTTTCTAAGGAAAATTAAATTCATTCATAAACATTCAAATCAATCACCAGTTTCAAAGATGCTCGACTCTTATATCAATCTTTGTCCTGCGTTTCAGATCACCTGAGGGATCAACGAGTTCGTAGAAGTGGCCTGTTCAGGTCGAGCCATTTAATTCTGAATAAATGTTGCTATATCAAAGGCGCCTAAATAAAAACTGAGAGAAGAATCTCAATTTTTATCCTTTTCAACTGAATTTTGTTTAAAAGAAGTGATGTTAAGAAATACCGACCGCCAGACGGTGCCTAGTGTTGTAAGTTCTCTTCAAACGAACTGTGATATGGTTCTTTCGAGCATCCTTCCATAAATACGCTCCCTTCGCTATCATGGACCGAGGTGGCATTGTACCTCCACAATATCTGGTACTCTATTATCGACGAGGAAATGCCAGGAAACTTTCTTTAATTGGATAAATACACGAATACCGAGGATTTTTTTCTTTTTCTTGACCATTGACACTGCCTCACGCACCCAGTGCGATGGTAAGATTAATTTCCACCAAATGTAGCGTCGGACTTCCATTCGACTTGTTTAACTTGATCCACCCAAATGGTTACCGACTAAAGCCCCACTTAGTCTTAAAATTCTATCTAGGCTGCCTAAATCTTCTGTTAGCAGTACTGCAAAAAGTGGCAGATGCCACCGGATCATCGAGCTAGGGTCATTTGGGTCAGGATTCCCACTTTTCCAGGCGAACCTAATTCCTGCCGGCGAGCATGAGCTGTTCGGCTTTTTCCTGACGCCAAGGTTTTGTCAATGTTACCCCCCAGTCTGCCCAGCGGTATACGCAAGGGACGCATATTGGGGCGTTTTGGCCTAAGTGATAAATGCGAATCTGTGCATTGGCATAATAGCTACAATTAATGAACGTACTGCCATGCTTGTTTAGGTCTCAGTTTTCACAAACATTATTCCCAAGTATTAATAATAAGGAATTGAAAAAATATAAGAAATTAAATAAACATGAGGTGTTATTATTGAAATTAATAACTGTTTATATGGTCGCCATGTTGTTTCATAGGACTGTTGAAGAAACCGCAGGTAAGTTCATCAAGACCCATTCCGGCTGGGCTGCTGGCGATGGCAAGTCCTCGATGCTGTAAATAAAAATGACGAAAAGTGTTAAATAAGGATTAGAAAAATATGCCTGAGAGGACCTTTCCAGTTTGATGGAGGTAGGATTGAAAAACTGTTAATATCTCTATAATGAAATAATAGGATAGCTCTCCTTCAAGGCACTCAATTCAAACCAAGGTGTTAAGTATGACAGTTCTAACTGCTGTGCCCGTCGCAAATCTTGGAAGAGACCCTGGAACAGATTTCTGCTTGTCTTACCGTGTCCTGAGGATGACTGGATCAAACTATGACTTGCGTCTCTTCTGTGCTTTAAGATCTCAAGAGTTAGAGCTTGCCAGGACAAACGCGCCATTTGTGCTAACCGCGCAACACAATGCCAATACCTGCCGTGCTTTTTGGAGTATGTTTTTCGTCCTAGCAATGCGAAAGGAAGTCACACTTGTACTTCGAAGTGCACAATGGAACTTACGACTGCTATCAGCAACCTGCTTTTACTTTGTTCTAGACCATGTATGATTGGCAAGACTATAACAATCTTTGCAGAGGCTCAAATAGTCTTAGCCATTAACTGTTTGCGATCGAAGGTTCCTCTTGTATCCTGATTCAAATAAATTCCGAGATTTCTCGCTCTCTTTGTTATAGTGATTTTTTCGCCATAAACTTGAATGGTAAGTAGAAAGCATTTCTTTGTCAACAAGTCGTTCAATTGTAGAAACATCCACATCATCACAGGCAATGATCCCAGTAATACATTCGGTACGGATCCATGCTAAACTCCTGCCATTACCGATAAAGTTAACCTTCCTATTTATCACATTCCGGTCGTAAAGGTAGTTTGACACCTTCTTAATTAGGTACTTTCCGTCTTTCCTCTAGCCAGTCAAAGACTGTACACCAGGACAAGCTACTAAACTCATTTTTTATTTCTGGTAATATAGTCTGAAAGTAATCCCACAAATTGCAAGAAAACACTCGCATCTTTTTGTTCGTCGCAACACTCTGTCAGTTACCGAACGTACAGACCGATGTTTTCTAAAACCATACTGGTCTTCAAAAGGTAGATTATGTCCTTCCTCAAGGGCCCTCAGACGTTATTTTATAATGGCTTCAATTATATTTGCAAGCATACTAAGCAGGCAGATCGTTCTGAAAGCACTTCTCAATATCAAAACAACTTCTGCCTTCTCTCATCTCGCGGAAAATGTATCTGATGAAATTATTTACGTGGCCACTTCTGCCACCCTCTTAAAGATAGCTTTGAGAAGCGTTTTCGCAACCAACAAGGGGACCTCGTCCGCTTTGGGTGCCTTTACCGGCTCGGTTCAGGCCCTTGAATATAGCACCCCATGCTCTATAACAAGTTGCATACTCTCATGACCAAGTTCAGTGAATCGCGTTCCAGTAAAGGCCTTCCTATAACAGCTTTTCTCCATACGCATTTTGGCTTCTCGTTCCCGCATAGGCGATCTTTGATGAGCTTGCAGGATGAAGCTCAGCTAAAGGCTCTTTTCAGTGTCGACCTCACCTTCTTGAAGTTCCTTCGAGTAAGCTAAGCCTAGAGACCTGTATCTGGTAAATGTCTTTCGCATGTGTAGTCTGGTGCCTCCCGCTCTGCTACGCTTAAACTGCTTCCTGCTCTGATTATCCCGACATCTTTTCGTTCAGCAGCAGTTTCATCGACGTTAAGTATTACGTCGATGGTCCCAGTGTGCCTCGCAGGCCCCATTAAGAAACTCTGCAGCCTATTACTGCTTTTGGGAGTACCACAATCGGTTCTCCATCGCTGTATCAGCCTAATTGTGTCCAGCTTTCCTCGATGCCTCAGTACAATATTCGCCAAACCAGCGTCTTCCCAAGACTTCGATCCAGAACGGAGAAGAAAACGGCGTGATGGTCACTGCGATTCCCCTTTTCTTCCAGTATTGTTTAGCTTCAAGTTTGCGCGGCCTGACTCACCTTAGAGACAATCAAGTCGACGTAAGGACACTTAGTATAGTGTGCCAAATTACCAGGTTACGTATTCAGATCTTAAAGATCCGTTCAGATCTGCAAGAGCAGAGCTGTCTTCAAGACCTTGTGTCTATTCAGGGGGGGGGGGAGGGGCCGGCGACCTATGATATTAAATAGCCAGAACAAGTCACAATAGTTTATACGTAGGTTTAGAAGTCGACTGGCAGCAATCAACGATAAGATAGTCGCCTGTATAATGAAGTGACTCGGCACCTAAATTAGAGTACTCATAAGATGTATTGGCGCTTGTCTTCGAAACCGTTTCAATAGATCAGTGACCTTTTGCTTTATAATACTTTTTATTTTTAACGAGATAGCAATGGTGAAAGCAACCGTTACCCTCACCTGTTTATGACCCTTTGGTTATAGTTCCTAATTGAAATATTCATGCCTCAGAATATTTTAAAACCCGTGTATTTCGCTTAGGACCTATGGTAATAACAACTCATCGCATACTATGTTTATGTAAAGTTACAACAACACAGTTAATAACGTCTATCCTATTTCTTTGCTTTCGAATTGCTGATTCGAAGATCCGTCCTAGAAGCAGAAAACCTGTTGGTGCATCCAGATCGTTAAAAGATATGGAATGCCTCCTGCAAAAGGCTGATTCGTTACTTTTTGTGAACGATTAGGTGCGTCAGTGATAATAGAAGACTATTTTATAATATTACCACAAATTGTTGAAAGATCGTCGTCAGTGGTCGAAAGCTTTTTCAAGCAAAAAAACCCACATTGATAGGAAGTTAATAACTTACGCACTTTTCATGCTTTTTGGTTCAGGGTTTAGATAAATAATACTTTATCTCCGAAATGCATTAATAGGCTCTCGTTTGTTGTATCACTTGTTACGCTTAACTATTTTAGAATAAGAGCTTCATTTATTTCAAGAGTACAATTAAAGATTTTCGTTAAAAAAAAAACAGACTTTTCCCTCAATTCTGGGCTGTAGGTTTGCTGTCTATATTATATTTGCTCTCGCATTATTTTGACCAATAGAATTCATGTAAACCTGACACATAAGTAACAGTTGTTTCCGTTTGAACCATTATACTTTACTTTTTAAGCCATTTTTCATAGTAAGTCACAGTCTCCTATAACGTGGATTCATATATTTCTCCTTCCTCTCTGTTAGTTGTTTCGAAATATCGGTATATCAAAGGGTAGAATCGTCCAACAAGCCCCGATGTATATTTGCCTTAATGCCAATATTGATTTTAGTATTCTCTACATCGTATAAAATGCCAAACATTAATATAACTGCTTTAAATACTTAAGTTATGTATTTAGGTAGCCATATTGAAATTAGGGCTATGTGTAACACTAGCGTTTGCGCAGACTTTGTTATATTGTTCTGTTTAATAGATCTTGCTAAAGCTAAACAAAGCACAGAATACATCATTAGCAGTTGTTACTCACCGCATTTAATCAAGCACCGAATTAAAGTGTTGTCAGTATTACAAACGATATTTTCTCTTTTATCAGGCATCAGCATCCCTCAGCATAAACCCGATGATATTTGTATGTAAAACGTATGACAACAGCATGATTTTCTGTTCCGCAGTTGATTTTATTAAGCTCAATATTTAATATAAATTTAAATAAACTTTTTCTCAATTTCTCAAACTCTTAAAGCACTTAGCTTTTTATCAAGATTATTGCCAGAGTGCTTAAAGAATAGATTCACACGATATATGCCATGACGGTACGCCGACATACTTACATCGTTATACCATCATATTGAAAGACACAGGCCACCGAATTCAGGGGGGTTGGTTTATCAATGTATTATCGTTAATTCATAATATTTTTTCATCTGATAGGTCAGTATACGTTGACGCCCCCGGGTCGTATCCAAAATTGCTTTTTCTCAAAAAAAATAATTCGAAAATTTAGAGTCGTTGAGAGAAACAAATCACTGATGAAGATAAGCAGTGCTTATTAGGCCCAGCTAATATTTCTTTTAATCATCATCACCTTTATTTCACGATTCTACCCTTTACATTCACCTAAAGGATGTCATTTTTTTTTTTACCTGAACAACGTATTCGCTCCGGATTAGCTACATTATAATACGTTAAATTATCGTGGTTTAAATAATTAAATAACGAATTGGGATGTATGGAACGAAAATGGAATAATAATAAATGCATGATCTTGGCCATGAATTGCACGTATCTTATGCATCCCATGTATGACTGTACGATAGCTATACGATAGTGAAGTGTTAACCGCTTAGCCGAATTCAGATACAAACGCACTTCGTTTAATATCAGAGGGAATCAAGCATCTGAAATAATACTTAATAGTTTAAACATCATATGTAAAATCCCAAAACATGCTCTCTTTTTCGTCAGCTTTTAAGTGGTGCTACAACGGTATGTTTAGATGATTCAAACATATTGCATTTTATTCACTTACTCATCAAAATTTTATAGGTTCAGAATATAATTATTAACAAAATTAGCTATAATTCTTCTAATAAGTGTATAGTATTAGTCGTTTTCAATTTATTACTTTTAAAGTTAATTTTAAACTGAAGGACTCAGTTTACTTGCTTACCCTTAATTGAGTTCTTGATTAAAAACTGCTGTTTTCGACAAAGTAAAACCTTCGAAACGTTTTTGAGGCATTGCTGGCCTTAACATTTATAGGTATCATTTAGAGTGGGACAAAGAACCTCGACTACATACAATCTTTTTTCGCTGGAGATGTTCGTATAGAAGCAAACCGCAAAGAGGTAAACGCAATATAAGTCCGAAATACGAGCAGACTTGTAGTTCCGTTGAACCAGAGTGCAGATCACATAATCGTGTGAGAACGTTACTTAGTATACTTACCCGAAGTTTACATTACTTTATCACTGACCTCCAAATTGTCGCTGTCTCGCTTCTGAATGTAACACGCGCAATAAAGCACAATATAACTATAATAATATATATAATTATAATAATAATAACAACAATAAAGCACGTCAGTACGTATTTAATAGTTATTAAAGTAAACATCAACGGGT